TTAAGTTTTCATGTAGTAAAAAACTTACAGGTCACATTGGACGGAGTGATTTATATTAGTAAAAAACTAATAGTGTCTAACTAGCGTCAACAATGGAGTCAATCACGTCTATCTAATTTAGAACCTAATAGAATTCAATAAAACCATACAGTATATCACGTCATACAGAAACTAAGCTTACAACTCATAAACTCTCTCTTCCATTTGAGGTCTCGAGATCAAAATATGTATTCATTATTCAGCATCACCATTCGTACTACACGTTCCGCCCATGCAATGAGTAAAATATTTCAATAAAATTCGCATTCGACAGAAAATTAATATGTAAAACGTGAAATTATGTTTAAGTGGTGTGGCTGCATTACAGTCTGCTCTTTGCGAAACGTAGAATTGCAACGATATATTGTCGCTAATGACTTTCCGTTGATCCTGATTTCAACAGCTATGAACTGTAGTGAGAGTGCCGATTAAAATTATCATGTGTGTGTGTGTGTGTGTGTGACATTTCCACTGAGTCAGTTGCATCTAGCCATGTGAGCCTTGCCTATAGGATAACACACAACACTACTCCATACGCAAGATGCTCAGGGCAACGAACCCCAGACTCTATCTCCGGACTTTGAAAATTAAAGAGGATATAAACATGATAAATGACCTTTCTCTTCTTAGCCTTCGTGCTTAACAAAACATGAACTGCTTCTAAATTTATGCCATAATTTAAATTTAAACTTCAGCGTACAGATGCATATCGAAGGATGAACCTGCGAATTATGACTTCCAGCTGTTTTACCTACAATCATAAGAGGATTATAAGGTACGCAATCGGACAAAACTAAGCAAGAATTCTTACCCAAAGGAACACTACGACACAGACTCCTGTGCTCCTCTTGTGTGCAGGCAACGTCTTCACCAAGGAACAGTTATCCTCCAGCAATTAAAATGCACCACAATGTCTGTCTCTGGAATCCGCAGGGCACAACTTCTTCCGCGAAATGGAACATGGCTGAATGCGCCATTACTGTGCATCTGAAAGCAAATCAGTAAGATGAGAATATGAATTCTGATCTCTCTGACTTCTAACCCAGTAAACAAGGGTCAATAAATGTTTGTGTCCTTTTGAATTTCCAGGTGGGTTAAATTAAAATGGATTTTAAAGAAATATGGGATGAGTGAAGTTAAATGGATTTGACAGCTCTGGAAATGTACCAGTTGGCCTACCCCTTTCAACAAGATACTGCAATTCTGACGGACTGTCAGTCTATCAAGAAGATTTTTTTATTCAATATTTTATCAAATACTCTTCTTTTCAGGGAAGAAACGCAATGCGAGTGAAACCTATTCCGAAACTGAAATAATTGAACACGTTAAAACATTCAGTAATTCAGGACGTGTAATCTCAATTTTAGCCAGTCACGGTTGCCGAGCGGTCTGAGGCATGCACTGTCTTCGCTCGCTTAGAAACCGAGATCGTGGGTTCGAATGCCACTCAGGTCATGGATCTTTAGTTTGTGTGTGTGCGTTTTTCTGTGTTTGTGTACAGGTAGAGGCCTTGCGACGAGCTGATCACCCGCCCAAGGAGTCCTACCGAATATGTAAGATCTAGGAAACCCGAAGTGAACCCGAGAAGTTCATGGAGGTAGGCCTAGGCCCACTGGGGCTGTAGTGCCAAGGAAAAAATATCAATTTTAATTATGATGAAGGCCGAAACGTCAATAATTCCAGACAGATGACTGGAATCATTCAACTAATATTAAGAAAGAGTAATAACATAATTTCAAAAAAGTGACAGTCTTAGTACATCCCTCTGGATGAGAAGTTTGGCCATTCACGGAGACAACCGCGAATATATCAGCTGTACTGAACCATACATGATATACGGTATATTTCTGAACACAGATTACTAACCAAAATGGCAACTTCAGGAAAACATAAAGCTAGAATGTAAAAAAAAAAAACCATGAAACATCAGAAATTAGTAGAAAACATACGGATAAACAAATGAGATACACCCTATATGAAAAAGCTGCTTTTAGTAGGTATTTAAAATGTGAATAAACTAAATTGGTCTTATGGCGCAATTTCTTGTACAGTAATTTAATCTCCCTGTTCAAGTAATTGCGCCTTATGACCAATTTATTTTATTCACATTTTAAATAGGTGCCATACCTAACAAAAGAAGCTTCTTCATATAGTGTGAAGTTCATTGCTTGCTTGCTTGTTTGCTTTATATTCTGGGGGAGAACGATTATAACCAGACTGTAAAGTTATATGATAATGAAATGTATTTGATCAACGCGCTGCCAAGCAACGGCTCGGTAAACAGCCTCAACAATAGACAGACTGTTCCCTATGGGGTCCTCGCCGCTACTGTTGCCATGCAACGACGAGGTAAGTACGCCTCTAAAAAAATAGAGGCTGTGTTTTCCGTTGAGTCCGCGCTGCGACTACGTAAGTAGAGCGAATTGGAAGTAGAAGTGACCCGTCCTCTCGTCAGAGAGGGCGCCCCACAATAACAAGACCTAAACTGTCAAACAGTAATAAATATCTGGTCATGAGTCCCAGATAGGACCCGACACCAAGACTTACTGACTGACCGTCAGTCGCAATGTGACTTTGACTATAAGTGAAAGTGACAGAAAGTGAGTTCCGNGGTCGAATACTTCCACCGTGACCTTGCGAGTCGTAGGAGGCGACGAAAGGGGAAGTGTCGAATCTGAGATAGTAAAAAATATTGTCGCGAATCCCGAGGGACTCGGTCCCGAGAAAGACTGCGCTGGCAAGGGCCAGCAGCATATACAGAAGACAGACTCGTTTTCTCATCAGAGAGGGCGCCCCACAAAAACAAGACCGTAACTGTCAAACAGTAATAAATATCTGGTCATGAGTCCCAGATAGGACCCGACACCAAGACTTACTGACTGACCGTCAGTCGCAATGTGACTTTGACTATAAGTGAAAGTGACAGAAAGTGAGTTCCGTGTTCTCGGTGGAAGATAGCCACGGGAAGTTCATAGAAGACCAGAGAACTTCATTGTGATTTGAAGTGACAGTTTCTATGTCTAGATCTAGTGGAAACAGAGAATCCTAGTGCTTGTGCAACGGTAAACAGTAAGTTGTGTAAATCAGCGACAGCGCTGTAATTTAAATGCGATTAAGAGAGGTTGTAACCGAGGTGTTAATAAATCCAATCATCCGAATTATAACCCGTCATTTCGTCACGCGTACCACCCTACACGTGACAATAAGATTACTGTCGCTTTCATAAGCAAGCAAGTAAAAGTACAAAGTAAAGGTATCCGTGTAACAGGACGTGGAGGCCCATAGGGTTGTGAGATGTTGAGGTTCCCACATTATCTAGAAAATCTGCACATAGATGGCGGTAAGGTTTTCAGCCTTACGCGCCCGGCCGCCCTTTACCCCTAAGAACATTCCAAGAATATTCCTGGTACTCATTTCTGTTAGAGGCTGAGTCGACCCTAGGGCCATAGTGCGGCTGGAAGGGTTAGGTAAATTTAAAAAAATCCAATCACTTCATCGGGATTCGATCCCGCGACCTTCCGGCTTGTAGCATAGTGCTCCCTGTCGTTTTCATAAATGTTAAGTAATTATATTTCCAGTGATAAATAGCTTTCATAATGTGCTTCTGTATTTTAACGGTTCTTCCATTTATGGCGGTGCTTATCAAGTCTACCACTTATATAGAAGTTACTTCTCGTCCGGGAATTCGGAGATGTTCGCAAAGTTGCAGAAATATATTACAAAGTTTGGAAACACTGATAAAACAATTTATCATGTGGAGCCCAAGTGCGTACGTAATGCCATTAAATTGGAGACAGCGGAGAAAAATGATAAGAGGTAATAAATCACTTTCTCTTTAATATAAAGGCTTTATGTTGTTTCGAAATGCGTGCAAAAATATGTAAATTGTCTCATTTTATTACACAGACCATACTTCAGAACCTACAATGAAGCAGTCTTGTTTCAAGGTCAATGTTTCGGGCCCAATTACATGAGAAAGGATGCAGTTATCAATATCTGCGTCAGTAACATTAATTTGAATAAATATTTCTTTCTGAAATTTTTGACAGTGGTTATGAAGCTGTACTAGTACTTAAGCATCAAGGAAATAATACATGTAAGGACATTAGATTTAGATGAGGGATCAACTTCATGCTTCGGCTGTCTTACTCCCATGTAAGCATCCCTCTGTATACACTTTAATATCAGAGGAATTTGATTACCTTTACGCGAATTTAATTAATATGGACCAGCTCTGTGAGGAATTGATACATCTTTCCCTTTTAATTCCTTGACTTATGATCCGTGACTGCACAGCGTTTGCTCTACTAGTTGTTGCGTCTTGTTTGCCGGAACCTGGATAACCTTCATTAAAGGTTCGTTGACCAGGAAATTCTTGTTGCATGAAGGTTCGTTGCCCGAGAACGTCTTATGTATAGAACACTGCATATAAATATTCTTTGACATCCTAGTGAGAGCTGTTAACACGAAAGGAGAGACTGTGAAACGACTTCTTCAACATTTTGTGTTATAGTTACGTTCAATTGTAGTTATTTGGAAGGGTAATAAAGTGACGTCACAAGCATACACCTCGAGGTCTTATTTCATGACAAGCTCTGTGGGGTAATAAATATTTTAAAAATGTATCAACAAATTTCTTGAGGCAATATCCTGCAAAATTAATAAAATATCTTTGATGCTGTGATAATTCTATATTTCGCGTCCAGGTTTCATGTCTATATCTACTGATCCCTCGTAACCAAGCATAGAAAAGTTGATATGAAGGTATTTTAAGAAAGTGTAAATCCATTAAGTGTAATTTGTTTAATTAAATTAGTTGAACTTGAAAGATTTCTACTCTTTATGTATCAAAACAGTGAAACGGTCAGTTTCCTTTATAAATGTATACCTACAAATTTCCCACTCCACTTTACAAGATCTGCTTTAAGCACGGAACACTAATTTTGATCATTTTTAAAATAATTACCCATAAAGAGCATTCACGGTGCCAAAGGCCATATCATCTACATTGATATTCGAGTTTCTAAGGTTCATATCACTCCGCAGCGTATGATGACAAGAGACATCGTGCTCAAGTATTACATCATGCCGCAAGGATTGTAAAACTCGATGTCCCTGCATGGACTTACGCGCCATTCTATGAAGACAAATGGCGGAGTGGAAACATGACTTCTCACAGCCTTAATTTAGGAACGAGCCCGACCGCTTTACCCGTGGGAAAAGAGCCACAGGTATCCATTTAATGAGAGCCAGTACGCACCCCAGAGCTCGCCCTAAAGCGGTTTAAACCCAGGTCATACACTATGATATATAGCTCACATATACTTACAATAACTACTTCAATTTTTATTATGTAACATTCTATGCTATCGTAATGCAAGTAGTATCGTAGCATACAGGAGGTTATGTTGGCTTATGTTGCTAAGGATATATGTGTCATTTACCTATAAAGGATATAATAATTTTCGATTATGATTTTATGTAAAGTAGGTCTCACTGTGTATCATTATGCCTGTAAATCGGAAATTCCCGACAACTTTTACAGTCACCAATAGCAATCATAAAAGAACTGTCCATTGGTTTAGAAGGTTCGAATGAAAGACATGACCATTA